TGTGTGTGTATAAAAACTGTTCAAAACAAATTAAAACTATATAATTTTTATATATAGAATTAGTGTTTATGTATGTTGTTTTTCTTTTTTTTTGTGGTGAAATATGATCTGATTGTTCAGTTGTGCGTCTTTGATGGATGTTTATGTAGCTACGTTTGAGACTCTCAAATGTTAATTATTCTTAACTTAAAATAAGAAGTTATTTTCTGTGACGCTGAGGTTTTTCTGTTGATTTTCTGTTTTGTTCCATCAAATCACCCTAAATGTTAAGCACACGTGCAGAAAAAGTTTTCATCCCAATATAAAAATCACAGTCTGTCATTTGGACAGAGATTTGTTTGGTTCCTTTAAAAGCTCTCAATTATACGCAGACTTTCAAGCGGTTGCAGTCTGGTGATTTAAAACTATTCGTCACATGTTAGTTTAGTTTGCTGATATGTGCGAAGACTGTTTTTTTTTTTATTATTAATGTTATTGCATTGTAATTTATTATATTTATATATATATATATATCATAATAATAGAATATATTATGATACTTCATAATGCGGAAAACAATAATGGTATAATAATAATAATATAAATTATTTTATACATTTTATTTTATTTACAGAAATCTAATATCAGCACTAAGAAATTTTGTAATGAAAATAATGCATTATGTTTTATTGCATTATTTTCATTACACAGTAAAATAAAAGAATGTAAAAAATTTAATATAAAATATATTAAAAAAAATGTGAAATTATGAAAATAATGTAATTTTTGCACAAACTTTGAATCATCCAAAAAATACTATTTTATTTTTTCTTTTGATTATGGGGTGTAAAATGTCCCGGACATGTTCTTGACAGGTTGAGATTCACTCGTGTGGTTTTGAGGTTTGTCGCACATCGTATGGCTTCAGATTGTATGTTTTCAGAACATATGTGTGCAAACATCAAACGAGTTTATCTTCGGTCAGGTCTCATCTCAACACTGTGAAACGCTGGATTACAGTCTGGTTTTGCACATGAATTGGTCCATTTTCATTGGGTCAGTTTGAATATTTAGTCACTGCGGAGTAAAAACCAAATATCTGGCGTTTGAACTACAGCAGACGACTGTAAAGTGTCCTTAATATTCAGCTTTTATGTGGAAAAGCTAGCAAGAACTTTTTACATATCAAAGTTCATTTTAATTAGCATTGCTATGTAATGTGGGAGCTTGATTTGTAAATACATTTAGAGATAATAAATATATTAAAATTGGATTTCATTGGATTCATTGAATGTTGATGTGTATTGTAGCATTTGGGAACTTAGCAACACCCTGGCAACCACTCCGATTACCTTAGCAACACTCTAGCAATCACCTGGAACACTGTAACACAGCAACATCCTAGCAACACCCCAGCAACTATAAAACTATAGAAACCACATAGCAACACCTTGCCAACTACACAGATTATTTTAGCAATCACCTGGAGAACCGTAGCATCCACCTAACAACATCCTAGCAACACTCTAGCAACTATAACACCTTAGCAAACACCCTGGCAACCATCCAGATTACCTTAGCAACGCTCTAGCAAACACCTGGAACACTGCAACAGCACAGCAACGCTCCAGCAGCTATTAACAAGTTAGCAAACCCTTAGCAACTCCCGGGCAACCACTCAGATTACCATAGCAACATAAAGCAATAACCTGTAACACTGTAACAACATAGCAACATCCAAACAACGCTCCAGCAACCATAACACCATAGCAACCACTTAGCAACACCATGACAACCACCCAGATTACCTTAGAAACACTCTTACAATCACCTGGAACACTGTAACAACACAGCAACATCGAAGCAACGCTCCAGCAACTATAACACCATAGCGACCACTTAGCAACACCATGGCAACCATCCAGATTGCCTTAGAAACGCTCTAGCAATCACCTGGAACATTGTAACAACAGTCAACAACTTACTAGCAACTATAACAACATAGTGACCACTTAGCAACACCCTGGCAACCATCCAGATTGCCTTTGAAACATTATAGCAATTACCTGGAACATTGTAACAACAGTCAACAACTTACTAGCAATGCTCCAGCAACTATAACAACATAGCGACCACTTAGCAACACCCTGGCAACCATCCAGATTGCCTTAGAAACATTATAGCAATCACCTGGAACACTGTAACAACACAGCAACATCCTAGCAACGCTCCAGCAACTATAACACCATAGCGACCACTTAGCAACACCCTGGCAACCATCCAGATTGCCTTTGAAACATTATAGCAATCACCTGAAACATTGTAACAACAGTCAACAACTTACTAGCAACGCTCCAGCAACTATAACAACATAGCGACCACTTAGCAACACCATGGCAACCATCCAGATTGCCTTAGAAACACTCTAGCAATCACCTGGAACATTGTAACAACAGTCAACAACTTACTAGCAACTATAACAACATAGCGACCACTTAGCAACACCCTGGCAACCATCCAGATTGCCTTTGAAACATTATAACAATTACCTGGAACATTGTAACAACAGTCAACAACTTACTAGCAATGCTCCAGCAATTATAACAACATAGCGACCACTTAGCAACACCATGGCAACCATCCAGATTATCTTAGAAACACTAACACATATCAACATCCTAGCAACGCTCCAGCAACTGTAACACTAGTGAAACCACATAGCAACACCCTGGCAACCACCCAGAGCACTCCAGCAGCATGAAGATGGTGTATTTTGTATAAATGTGAGATTTTTGTCTTTGTTGCTCTGATGAAAGTAAACACAGTTCTAAATCAAAAGGTCAGATGTTTGTCTCGTGTTCATATCTGCAGACATAAACACTTTCTCCGTGTCAGACCTTTGTCTTGTGATGTTGTAAATGCCACCTGACAGTCTGTCACATGATGTTTTACTGCATGAGGGTGTTTTAACGCAGCAAATTTCACATTTTGTCACTTTGTGACTCTTCAGTTTCAAAGATAGAGGAACAGAATCTGATGCTCAGGTACAGTTTGCTTTTGCAATGTAAAAACAGGATATCAGTGTTTAAAATGAATTTGAAATAATGTGGCATGAGATGTTTCCGACTGATTTTAATTTTATCAGAAACATTTTTACATTGACAATTGTGTAGCATAATCCTTTACAAATGTTTTATAGACTTCGAAACATGGTTAATCAAATGTTTCTAATAATAATCTATATTTCTATTGAATATTTTATTTAGATTTGATCTTTTTTTTAATACATTTTATATTTTAATTATTTACAGTCTTAAATGTTATTAGTCTTTATTAGTCTTTTTTATACCAATGAATGTTAAAAACAGTTAATCAAATATTTCCATGACATTGCAATAGGTTTTAATAATAAAAAAAAAAATCTAAACAATGGTTTTAATTTTGCATTTTATTTTTTAATTTATTTTATCTCATTTAAATATATTTTATATTTTAATGAATAATAGTCTTAATTTTTATTAGACTTTATTAGTCTTTTTTTATACCGATGAATATTACAAACATGGTTAGTCAAATATTTCAATGACATTGTAGCAAGTTTAAAAAAAATCTAAATAAATATTTAATATGCATTTACATTTTAATTTAGATTGTGTATATAATTATATTTAAATTGTTTTAAGTTTTAATATTTTTGAAATGTTAATTATTTAATTAATAGTCTTGTTTTTTATTAGTCCTAATTTGTCTTTTTTATTCACATGAATGTTACAAGCATGGTTATTTAAATATAATCAAATTTTAAATAACAAAATATGTATTTATGCATATTATAGATTTTATCACATTTAAATATATATATTTTTTATTATTAATAGTCCTCATTTTTTATAGTTTCTTTTTAATTCACATGAATATTACAAACATGGCTAAGCAAATATTGCAATAAAATTGAATACAATTTCAAAGTTTGAATCAACAAAATTCTAAATAATTATTTTGTACGGTTTTTATTTTGTTTTGTTTTTTATCATTTTAATTAATAGTCTTATTTGTTTCTTTATTTGGTTGTTTCATTATTTTTTCTTATTCATTAAATTTTTTTCATGCACATGAATATTAAATCTTAACTATCAGCCGTAAATCTGAGCCTGTGATGCTAATAATGTACTTTGTTCTCAGGATGTGGCGTCTTTGTTTCCTGTCTGCTCTGCTGTGCATCACCTGCGGCTTCCCACAGCTCTCCGCTCGGTCACATGACATGATCAACTTCATCAACACGGCCAAGACCACGTGGACAGTGAGAGCTTTACTGTGTTTTACTGTGGTGTTTGGAGGTGATGAGAGAAAACATCTTGACTGTCTCTGATGCACCTGTTCACCGCTCTCTCTTCCTCTTTCGTTTCTTCTCAGGCGGGTGTGAACTTCCAGAACGTGAAGCATGGACATCTGAAGTCTCTCTGTGGAACGCTGCTGAAGGGACCGCGACTGCCTGATACGTGAGTGACAATAATCACATGTTATCATATGATATGATATGCTGTAGATGATATACTGCATGCACCTTCTTGTTCTGTTTGGGGTCTGAGAGACTAAACAACAGTAGATCGTCCTCTAAACTGGTTTTAAACAAGATGATGTTTTTGCATTCCTAATTAATTACAAATGAATTACTAAATGCAATTGATTTGCATGCTAAGATTCTTTGATTGTTGTGCATATAGTCCAATCAGTAGATCACAGCACTTGTAACGCCAAGGTCACGGGTTCGATTCCCAGGGAATGCATGAACTGATAAAAATGCATCTGCCAAATGCATAAATGTACATTTGTATTTGCTTTATTGTATTGCAACAACAAGTGGATTTTACATGATTGATTATAGAATGCACAATCATTTTATTGGAAACTATAAACAGAAATTAGTATCTGTATCTCATCGTCAGGGTTGCTATTCTAAAATACAGTATATTTTTAATTAAACAATTAAAAAAAAGAAAATTCTTATTTTGGTAATGCGAAAAAATAAAGATATATATTAATGTATATTAATTTATGCTGATTTTCACTGCACATACAATAAATTTTTACATTTGGTAATATTGTACAAACAAATTGATTGTACATTTATTGTGTTATTTATGCTGATTTTCACTACAAACAAACAAACAATAAATAAAATAAATAACATTTATAATTAGAACTATTAATATACTATGGCAATATTGTGCAAATAATTCGATAAATTGTTAAATAAATAAATAATTGCCATTTACAAATGATCAATAAATCGATTGTACATTTATTGTATTACTTTATGCTGACAAAGTTTTTTGTGGAAAGTGTTTTTGAAAGTGCATGTCGTGTAACAGAATAATGCATGATGAGTCATTTATTGCATTGACAAACAGAAAACATATAGAAAGTTTTTTTTTTATAATTAAATTAAATAATATTTATTTATTTGTTTGTTTAAAGTTAATTAAATGAATTGTAATAAATAAAAACATTTTTTTTAAAAATGGATAAATTGTGTGTTTTGTCCATGTGTAGGGTGAAACATGCCGCCAACATGAACCTTCCTGTCAGTTTCGACCCGCGGACGGAGTGGCCTTACTGTAAGTCCCTCAGTCAGATCCGGGATCAGGGCTCCTGCGGCTCCTGCTGGGTAAAAACCACCTCCTGCAGTCATAGCGTGTGAGTGTGTGTGTGTGTGTCTGCGCGTGCGCGTGTGCGTGGTGTGCGTGTGAGCGTGTGTGTCTGTGTGTGTGTCTGTGTCTGTGTCTGTGTGTGTGTGTGTGAGCATGTGTTTGTGTCCCGCAGGCGTTCGGCGCGGTCGAGGCCATCTCTGATCGCATCTGCATCCACAGCAAAGGGAGCGTTTCGGTGGAGATCTCAGCCGAAGACCTGCTGTCCTGCTGTGAACAGTGCGGATTCGGGTGCGTCTGACCACGAAAATAAAACACAGAGGAGATGAAACGAACAGCTAATGTATCAAACCTCAGAGAGCTTTCAATATCAACTCAATCATTCCTCATCAGATGATCTGAGCTGCTCCCACCGTTATTATAGTGAACTAAACTAAACTAAAAAAAACATCCTTGTTACTTGAAATAAAATAAACGATGACTGAAATAAAATATATAGAACTTAAACTTGAAAATAAAACAGCTAGTTGCCAAGGCAGCATTTAAATTTTTTATTTAATTTAACATGATGTTCTAAAATGACTAAATAAGTAAATAAATAAAATACTTTTTTTTTTTTATAAAATAAAAAATATTAAAATAAAATAGGTGTAGAGTTCTTTTTAAACGTTTCTGCTATTAGGAGTTTTAGTAGAAACATCTGAGACAGAATCTGTATTAAATCCTCATGAAATGCTGTGATGTTTGTTTTTCCCGAGGCAGGTGTTCTGGAGGTTTTCCATCAGAAGCGTGGGATTACTGGACTAAATCCGGTCTGGTGACCGGAGGACTGTATGGCTCTAACGTGGGTGAGTCTGGATCAGAACTGTGGTTTCGTTGTAAAAAGCTGCATGTTGATCTCATCTGGATCTTTTCAGCCTTTCAACAAGAATAAATGAACTGAAGCTCGTCAAATACAATAGCAGAACTGAGGTTAAGTGTAGAGGTTTTAAAAAGTTTCTATTTCTCAAACGTGCAACAACACACTTTTATGGACCCTGATAGCATGAAGGCATGAACATTACACTAAATATCTCCCTCTGAGTTACAAAAACAAAATTAATACGAGTTTGAAATAACATGAGTGAACCATTTTATAAATGTAATCAACTAAAACAAATAAAAAACACAATAAAAAAAAACATTAGTATAAAATAGTATTCCTGAGTTAGATTGCAGGCAAATAAAATAAAATAAAATATAAAATAAAATAAATAAATATTGTATTAGAATAAAATAGTTGTAGAATTGTGGAGCAGTTCCTGAATGTTTTTAGGCTGCAGACATAATAAAATAAAATAAAATAAAACAAAATAAAATAGATTTTTTAAAAGAATTAATAAATACAAAATATATTTAAAAAATAATATTTATAATATAGTTCTACAAATAGGTTTTTGAACATTTCTAGGTTGCAAACCTAGAATAAAATACCATACAAAATTAAAAAATAAAATAAAAATAAAAATTTAATTAATTAAAAATATATTAAATTAAATAAAACATATTAAATTAAATAAAAAATAGTTGAAAAATTCTGAGGTCTCTTTGACCGTTTCTAGGTTGCAGACCGTACAGCATCTCGCCCTGCGAGCATCACGTGAACGGGACACGGCCGCCGTGCTCCGGTGATCACACACACCCGAACAACCCTAATCACACACACCCGAACAACCCTAATCACACACACCCGAACAACCCTAATCACACACACCTGAACAAGCTCATCAAGCTGAAATAGTGACAGGCAGGTGAGTTTGATCAAGGTGGACCTCGAGGGCCAGAGTTGAGAACCCCTGCTCTACTCTAGTCTTCTCGTTACGTGTCTCTTTCGCCTCCTGCAGGCTATAAAGCGTATAACCTTCCCTCGGACCAGCAGCAGATCATGACTGAACTTTACAGCGGAGGGCCGGTGGAGGCGGCCTTCACCGTCTATGAGGACTTCCTGCTCTACAAGAGCGGTCAGAGAGCACACGCTTTAATCTTTAACAATCATCTGCTGTGCACAGGGCTACACAGCATTATTTGCTCTCATCTCTCAGGTGTTTACCAGCACGTGACCGGCTCTGAACTGGGCGGACATGCTGTGAAAGTGCTGGGATGGGGAGAAGAGAACGGGACGCTGTACTGGCTGGTGGCAAACTCCTGGAACTCCGACTGGGGCGACAACGGTGAGACTGTTACTGCATTTTGGGGGAAATTATCATTAGAATAACTTATAATAATCGTGATAGTTTATTAGTAAATAAATGCATTATTAATGAACTACAATGATGTATTATATACAATAAAATACAAAAATAACTATATAAAAAGATTTCTGAGTTCTTTGATCTTTTTTAATGTTTATAGGTTGCAGACCTAGAATAAAATAAAATAAAATAAAAATATTAAAATAAAATAAAATAGTTGTAGAATTTATGTTTTTTTTTTAACATTTCTAAGTTGCAGACCTAGAATAAAATATTTTGAATAGTTTGAAATGACATGAGTGAACCATTTTATAAATGTAAACAACTAAAACAAATAAAAAACACAATTTAAAAAAAACATTAGAATAAAATAGTATTTCTGAGTTCTGAGATCTTTTTGATGATTTCTAGATTGCA